AAAAAAAAAAAAAAAAGGCACTCGTCACGCGCGTGTACTTCTCTTAAGTCTACCGTTCCATCTCTCAAGTCATAATCGATGTGGCGGCATCATTCCCGGGTTTCCTCACTTCACCTCTCCTCTTCTGCACCATGCTACAATCACCTCCATATTAGCGGATGACCAGGTGTACCCACCCAGAGCAGTGGTACACCTGGTGAAGCAGTTTTTTGTGTTTTTTCCCCCTCCAGTCTTTGAGCTGAGAGGGTACACCTGGATTTACAACCAAGGAAATCAAGAAAGACTGAAGCTCTGGGGGGGGAAGAGGAAGAGAGAGGGTATACTGACTCACTATCAGTTTTTTTGTGGACAACAAACTGAGCAGTGCAAAATTCACCACTGCTAGGCTTTGCCTTTCCCTTCTAAGTGTAGTCACCCAGTGTAGTGTGGGGACCACCACATCTGCGGATGACCAGTCTTTTTTTCCCTTTTCCCTGAACTAGGGTTGCTCTAACCACACCAAATGAGCATAGCTCAGTGTGGGGACCACCCATCAACTGTTGAAATACAGACCTGAGTTCAAATCTAGATGAATGAAATTAAACCAGTCTGAAAATTACCTAGGGCCGGTCAGACCTATGAAGATATCCCAAGGCCGTTGCCTTTTTTAATTAAAAAAAAAAAAAAAGGATGTACTGCGCATGGTAAAGATAATGATAAATTACATTTAATTACTGGCATTCCCTAATAATAATAAGAATAAGAATAAGAATAATAATGATAATAAAGGGTGGCGCTGCACTCGAGTTCGAACCATAGTGATCAGGATCCTATGGTCAGCAGTTGGAAAGACAGGTGGCGCTGGACTACAGTTCGAACCATGGCGATTGCAATATCCTACGGGCAGCAATTAGACCGTCATGTTTTTTGCTAGCAAGGCCACCAGGCCATGAGGCCATGAACTACCGTCTTCAACAGAATAGAACTCCTTCCCGGTAATTATCGTCGTATCTGGGCTGAAAGTTGTGCCAAATACAGGTATAATGACCAGGTGTTCTATTCGGGTGAAGCCGGTAGTCCGTGGCCAGGCAGGCAGCAGCCTCACTGCACACCAGCAAAAGTTTCAATCCACCTCCGCCACACTGGTGGTTGGCGTGGATCGAATGTGATTCCACAGGGAGCTAAAACACTGCTCCCTTTCACACCAGCATCATATACATTGCAAACAGATGGATGAATCTTCACACTTTTTTCGGCTACATTCCTTATAGAATGTGTTCCGATCGATTCCGTTATCCTCAGGCCTCCGCATTGTTTTGGTTGGTTACGTTCATTGTACAGGTGCATTCGGCTTCCGAGTCAAATATTGATAGGTTGTAAGGCATGGAGAGACGAAAGGAGAGAGCACTCCATGATAGTTCATAGGATAGTTCATAGAAGTTTACAAGCATTAAACAAACAAACAAACAAACAAACCAAAAAAAAAAAAAAAAAAAAAAAAAAAAAAAAAAAAAAAAAAAAAAAAAAAAAAAAAAAAAAAAAAAAAAAAAAAAGGAGAATACAGCAAGAGTACGCAATTCGTAATCACATACAGCGCATGAGGGTTACCGTCTCCCCCGAATAAAATGCCCAGTCATTAAACCCGTATTTGGTGCACATGTCAGTCCATATTCCAGATACAGCTATAATGACCGAGTGTTCTAGTATTCGCGTGATGACGGTAGTTCCTCCTCTAGGGTCCCCTTTCCTCTGGGGTCAATATTCCTTGTCATCAACAATAAATTGATTGATGAAAGGGAAGATTGTGGAAACACACGAGGAGAAGAGTGGTCACCTACCCTTGCCATGCACACACATCCCCCCCCCCCCCAACAACTTTTGGCCCCCTATGTCGTCTTCTAGACTCTAGAGTCAATTCCATGTCATCATACGTTAAAAAAAACAAAGGATGCAAGGGAGCGAATCCAAGCAATTATGGAAACATGAGTAGAAAGGTCACTCACCTCTGCCATGGAATCCAAGGGATTTCAGAGTCTGATAGTCAGCCCACACCAGATTGTGTCTGTTTTTTTTTTTGTTTTTTTTACTGCGAACTGTGTACCGTTATAATGTCGAACAGTGCATTAATAATTAATTGCTCATCAGTGCACTACATCAGAGAGAAATGAAAGAAAAATGAAAGCAGTTTATACTTCAAACTTTAAAGCACCACATATAATGTCAAACAGTGGGCACTCACTCATACATAAAGATTTCACAAGGGACTCGCTGGGCCCGGTTATCAACGAGCAACTGTTTTTATCCCGACTCGCGAGTGGAATAGGAGCCGGAATGCTGCTTAAAAAAAAAAAAAAAAAAAAAAAACAGAAGAAGAAGAAGAAGAAGACAGTGGTCACTCACACAGATTTTGAAGCCCCAAACCAATCTCTCATACTCTTGTGGCCAAGGGGGCCGGTTCAAATCTTTGCTTGCACGTACGTGGCGTGAAGGCCAGAACGTATGGATCCATAACAACTATACTCTGATACTCTGTGCCACATACAAAAATAGTGACAGCTTGAGAACCCTCCACCGTCACGCCCCATCCGTCTGCTTTCTCAGGAAACGCATAACGCATTCGTTATATCGGACAACGGAAATCGACTTCTTCTCTGGTGAGCGCCGCACAGATGGATGCGCCCACCTGGCAATCGTCCAAACTTGTCGAGCTGATCCGCGGCTCCCGTCGGAAAGAAAAATCCACCCAAACAAGCAGCACACCTTACGAGCGCCACAGCGAGAGACCGACCGGGGGCTGGCAAAGCTTATCATCACGTCTCAGTAGTTTGGTGCATTTCGAGTACCACGAAAAAGTTACACCTACCTTGGTGGAGCAAACTCTACCGCAACTCTATAGCTGTCGCTCCAGACAGGATTGGACACGCTGCGCCCCCTCGTAATTAGGCTCTACAGTAGTCGAAAAGAAAACGCTCCTGTTCCTGACTCTTCCTGAAATTTCCAGCTCGGAGACACTGGGCAAGCGATCAGAGTCACGATCAGCTGTGTCTGTTTTGTTTTGTTTTCTGAATGCAGGTCCATGTCCATTCTGGGGAGCGTCAGACCGGTTTCTATTCCACCGGCAATTACGGCCTGCGGACCCAAGTCAGTTCCCCATAAGTAGTGACAAGACATGGCCTGCCATAAGTTCCCATAACCAACAACCAAAACCGCATAAGGCGTATAATAATGCAACTACCGCATTAAGTAGGATTCAAATGAACTCTCTCTCTCTCTCTCTCTCTCTCTCTCTCTCTCTCTCTCTCTCTCTCTCTCTCTCTCTCTCTCTCTCNCACACACACACACACACACACACACACACACACACACACACCCACACGCACACGCACACACACACACACACGCACACGCACACACCCACACACACACACACACACACAGGTAGTTACAGGAAGAGCAGGCATAAATCTTCTGTTCTGAAATAGTATGACCTGAGAGCAACCAGAGAATAAAAAGACGAAGGATGCATGCAATCCTAATCTGATCATCCTAATCTCATCCTCAAAGGAACAGAAGCAAAAGACGAAGGATGCATGCAATCCCTGCTGCCCCAATCACTCAAGTGGAATATTAGTAGTGCCTGCCAACTTGTTGCTTCGTTAGTTAGTTAGTTAGTTTAGACTCTAGAGTGAAATTTACAGACGTGCTGGTACGTGTGTGAAAACAAGGACAAGGGGTAGGTCATTCAGCACTTTGATATCCAATATTATCCACTTCTGCACACAGCCAGCCAGCCATTCGCGCACGACAAGTTTTTTGACTGATGCGAGCAATTGAGGGCGGCAGAAGCGACCACGTTTTTTCGAGCTACTGCACATGTCCAAGCATATCTGTCCATTACGACCCAGCTGGCTTCTGACAAGTCCACTGGCTGACAGGACCCAACCAGTCTCTCTCTTCTTGGGTCCTGCTTTCCTCATTACTGCTAAGTCTGTGCTGACGAAAAAATGACTGACTGATCGACTGACAGAAATGTGGAGCTTCCGGCTGCAACAAGCTCTTTTTCGTGCCTGTACCATCCCTAGTTGTTTCAGAGCCTCCAGCAGAGACGCACAGGCCCAAGCAGCATGATGGCCCATCGATCACTGATGAATGCGCTTCCCTGGCATCGTAACTGCGTGCCGAGCATGGACCCTTTGGGCCCATGTCAGTCATGTCCGTAAGGACCATTTGCGCCCATGTCAGCCCATGTCAGTGTCTCCATATCTTGTCGGAAACCCCCTCAAGCACATAAGAATAAAATTTTGGAGGTGCTTGATGATGTGACACAGACAGTGAGACTTAGCAGCTGATCAGCATAACACAAGAAGCCCAAAGAAGCCCAACCGCCGTCCCGGTATAGAAATGCCTGGCATTAAGACCTTATGAATGATGCATCATTGAATAAAGCTCATCCACGCCAGGCACTGAAGGGGGGGGGGAAACACTTACACGTAGCATATACAGCACAGTTTGATGCACCCATGACGGTGTCTTAAGGCCTTATTGATGGCGAGCATTAACAGAATAGCAACAAGCCGTGTGGACGACGGGTACGCAGGGACCACAGAGCCCCATCCGGCCTATCGTACTGCATTCATTCAGTGATCTGCAACGTCTTCCCGGCTATACAGATGGCAACCAGAATAAGCGTGTCACACCCGCATGGGCGGCGGAGATCCATGGACACCGTCCCCTTACTTGCAGTCCATGTCAGAAAGCAGCCGTCGAATGGCATCCGCGGGCAGAGGAATGTACAAGCAGTCCTGCCCGTCGCATCCACGGCGTGTCCGTACCAACTCATGGTCGCGGAACTCTGTCAAATGTGTGCGCAGTGTCATCTCGCTGCTCACAAGGAACTGCTCTCGGCATAAGGTGTAGAGTCGGCTCATCGGCAATCCTGCAAACAGGCAGTAAGTAGCATGTCAATCAATCTCCCTCAGCTCGACAATTGAGCATAAACACATAAACACAAAAACAACAAAAACACATAAACACATACTGTGTGCTTTGCAATGCACAAAAAAAATAAAAAAAATAAAAATCGACTTCAACCACCACTACCTTTCCCACTGTTGGGAAAACAAGAAAATATCCTACTCCTCGAAAATCGGGGGCTAGGCCCCAACGATGGCCGCTGTTGATAAATCTCATTGGCAGCTGTCGTTTCGTTTCGGCCTCCTAATCCGAGGTCGACATGGGAAAAGGTAATGGTGCTTTTAAGCCTTTAACATAATTAATTAATAAACAGTATTAAACACTGTTTCTCTTGACTTTTCTAGATTCAAAGAACATTATTTTGTTATTAACTTATTAGCATCCCAGCCACAGGATGCTCCAAATGACATCTTATATTGGAGACTTCCTCCTCGGCAATTTGTGGATTTTTATTTGCATTTTATAATTTTAGCAGTTTTTGGTGCCCACACATATCATCTGAGGCACCTGTGTGTTGTGCCCCACATGTGGGTACGTTGAGGGCATGTCATCCACAGTAAGTACGCCATAACTCGTACACACAAAAAGAGTGTGAGAGAGAGAGAGAGAGAGAGAGAGAGAGGGTACGTTGAGGGCACGTCATGCACAGTAAGTACGACATAACTCGTACACACAAAAAGAGAGAGAGAACTTTCATCAATAAACTTGTGTCCAACCGCCCCCCCTCTCACTCCACCGAAAAGCCAGTGAGGGATTCTTACTCAATCCCTGCCATGGTTCAGTATTACGCTTGACAAGCTGGGGGAAAGAGACAGGCACAACAAAACAAACATTAATCCTTCTTCTTACGCCACCATCGTCCCCAACCGGTTTTGCAGAACATATCGGTTTTCCCGACCCTGGAGCAGCAAAACATGAGCCGAGAGATTTTGGGTCCACCGGGTCACAGCATAATGCAAACATTGTGTACTTGCTGTCACCATTTTGTTTGTTACATCCAGAAACTCTCTTTTGATTACTCGTTTCCTCGAAGACAATTTACAAGAAAACTTTCTTCTTCTTCGTCGTCTTCTTCTTCCTTCTTCCTTCTTCTTCTTCTTCTTCTTCTTCTTCTTCTTCTTCTTCTTCTTCTTCCTTTCTTCTTCTTCTTCTTCTTCATTATCATCATCATCATCTTCTCCCTCCAATATCCGTTGATGCATTCCTTTCTGAGCAAGACTCTCTCTCTCTCTCTCTCTCTCTCTCTCTCTCTCTCTCTCTCTCTCTCTCTCTCTCTCTCTCTCTCTCTCTCACACACACACACACACACACACACACACACACACACACACACACACACACACATTTTCCTGAGTATGTGCTGGTATCAATGTCCATATCGTGCATATCATCATTCGCGCAGCTCCTTCACATGAGGATGCAAAAGGGTCGCAGGTAACTTGGGTTGAAACTTGGAAGGCATATGCATACCTGCTTCATCAGGCTGTGACAACTGCTGATTGGCAAGGACATTGAAGACACTGCGTGCATTCGGCGTCAAACTCTGAAGAACCACAATGGCACTGCGCGCTGTTTGCTCGGCGCCCCGAGCTGCAAGCAGCGGTGGAATATACGCTGTCTCTAGAGTATAGGGCGCATATGTTGGCGTGTGCTGCCACCACCAATTGAATCGCCCGCTCGACATCTGCCTGTCCCACACTGTCATCACATGCGTTGCCAGCTGCAACAGTAAGTTCGCGCTCAAATGACAAAGCATGCCCACATAAAGCTCACAAACCATTAATATGACAGTTATGACTCTTCTAAATATCAGAGTCGTATCTTCCCCACAAGCCAGAGATGCAATTCACAGGGGGGGGGGGGGGGAACAGAAGGGGAACGATAAAAAGAAAATGCGCTCAAATGTATCAAAGCTACCAGGCCATCCGGCCGCAAATGTCTGGCCAGATGTTCATGCACAGATGTACACAATCCAGGCCGTCCGCGTTTCCAGATGTCCGGATAATCACCCTTCCCGACGTCTCGTTAAACATCCAATCCAATGCGCTGCTGCCCGTGCGCAGCCCAGGCCACTTAAAGGATTCGCCTTTCCGTCGATCTTGGAAGCTCTGAAAAAAAAAAAAAGGGGCTGCCTCAGCCTGCCTGCAGTACCTGGACGATGTTGCAAACACTGTACCGGCGCTCCTCTCTTTGCACAATCCCTTCTTCACCCCCTCTGGTATACGTGGCATTTGTTCTCCCAGCGTGTGTCCGTACCATACTTGCAAGCGGACGCCGTCCGCGCGGTTCCGCACGTGCGGTGGACCGCTGGATCGGACCCGCGCGGCGCACGAATGTGCGCCCGACGACCAGTTACCCCCCCCCCCAAAAAAAAAAAACGACCCGGTCCGGTCCGGTCCGGTCAGGTCCGGGGGGAGGGTGCCACACGCAGCAAGCGGACCAGACGGACGCTCGCCCGGTCCGTTCGCTTGCAAGTATGGTTCGTACGGATTGTACACCTTACAATGTACAATCTACACCACCAACACCAGAAGTGTTTCCCTCATTGCCAACAGCCAAGTCAATGTCCCATGTGACGGGGGGGCGTGGGGGCGGGAAGGGGGAGGGGGGTGCGATACGGAAGTTCACAGCATGGCATGGCGCTACACGTGATGTCATTCACCTCCGCGTGAAAGCTGCCTAGCAATAAGGCGGCCTTTTCAAGTGTTAAATTTTATAGGACGCTCGCCCCGGTTGCCAGCAGGTATTGCTCTCCACCAATAGCACAGATTCTCAGCACTGTATAAACCCTAAACCTGAAGGCTGAAACAAAGGGGTGAAATACCGGGGGGGGGGGGGGGGGGG